TATTCGTTATTTAATTGTTTTATAAGATGTATTGTTAATTTTAAGTTAGATTCAACAGTTTTTTTATATAACCTCTATGCAAGCTCAAGCCTAGGTGGGATAAAAAAGATCAACTGAAACTTTACAATGGCAAAGATGTAAAAAATGAAAAATAATTAACAAAAAGTAAATTTAGTTAAATAAAGCAATTTCACAATAGATAAATTGAATAAATAGTTATTCCAATTCTGCTGATGAATATTTCTCATGAAATACCAGAGCAACGTTATTTACAATGTTATCTCTGTAAAAATGCACCCATGAAAATTATATTTTGCATTGGTGGAATAATGTAGCTATTATTTTGTAAAATCCCTTTAAAATTTAAATAAAACATTAGACCTAAACATTACCTCTGGCCGTCCCAATTAACCCTTCCTGTAGGGTAAAAAGGACAAAGTTACAAATTTTTGAAAGCAGCAAAAAACACATTTCTACAGTGATGTTCTACAGTGAATTAGTTCGAAGTTATACTCATCATAATCAGATGGTTATGAGTGATATAATTGGTTTAGTTTGAGTACTAATTTTGATTTATCATTTGAGAAATATAATATTTCATTTGATTTAAAAACTAGTAAATATTGTAACATTGTGTAATATTTATAAGAATTATATAAAATGAATTGCAAAGTTGAAATTATTTGTTTAAAGTATATTAGAACTTTATATTAGTCAGAATTGAAAATAAAATCTGAATTATTTTCGATATACAAAAAAAATTTTTTTTTAAATTTTAAAATTTTAAAACAAAATTTTTTTCTTAAATCAATTATTTTGTTAAAACAAGCAGAAAGTTCTTTGAATCATTCAAATCGGTCGTTCCGTTCTCTCAAAAAACTACAATTTTTTGCACATTTAGCTCTGTATTTCCGAAACCGCTGGACCTGCCTTTGCAAAAAACTAATCACCCCTTCTCCGAATCATTACTAATTGAATATTTTTTAGATCATTCAAATCGGATGCTCCGTTCTCTCAAAAACACAATTTTTATTTTCTGCACTCTTTGCTCCGTATCTCCAAAACGGCTGGACCTGCCTTTGCCAAAAAATGTCAATCAATAAAAATCGAATATTTTTTCAACCATTCAAATCGGTTGATCCGTGCGCCCGAAAAAGTGGACAAAAAATTGTATCCATACATTCATACATACATACACACACACACACACACACACATCCATTTTTTCTGAGGTATGCCAAAATGTTCAGAAACCTTCAAAACGTCGAGAAATGTAAAAAAATTTAATTTCGATTTTTGGACGATTACAATAACTTACCCTTCGAGAAGTTAATAATAAATATAATAATAATTCAAATATCAATGAAATTGATTCCAGCGTTCTCGCTAATCCCAATACTAGTTTTAATTTTTACGGCTGACTTTCCAACTTAAATTGACGCAAATGTTGCCACATTTGTTGATAATCGTGCATCATCGCCGCAAACAAAAATCCAAATACAGCTTCAAGCAATCTCCAGCATAGATTTTACTGTGGAGGATAGAATAGCACAGTCAATAGCACTTTGCAATCAAACTAGCCCCGCAGTTGAACTTAACGAAACAATTATTCCGCGCAATGAGTTAATAAAGTTTCTAGGCATTCAGTTGGACCAATAATTGAACTAGTGGGGCGCATGGCATCGTGCCTTAAGGCATATTGCTGGAACTTCCCGTACCAAAAATTATTATTTTTTTAAAAAAAAATTTTGAGAAAATTTTTTTGAAAAAAATTTACTTCGAAAAAATTAGATTTTTGAGAAACTATAGATTTGACAAAAAATTACTTTTTTTGAAAGAAAAAAAAATTATTAAAAAAAAAAATTTCTTTATTTTGACATATTTTGGAAATTCTGAAATTGTTTTCAAAGCAATCGTACTGCTTTACCTGCATAGAGACAAAATGTCAAAGCGCGTAAAGCCGCGTCGCCGTTTAACGGATGAATATTGGTACGGAACCCATAGGAATGTAAACAAAATTTATACCTATTGTTAAAATCTCTATAAAATATCTGACAATTTGATGTGCATATGTCTAATGATCAATTTTGCCTGTCCGCCAAAAGGCATTTTTTTTTACTTTTTTCATTAGATCTCCGTAACCGCTAAACCTGCCTTCATGAAAATTTGATCAATTCTTCATCTTGTCAATACAAGTAAAATGCTTTTTGAAATATTAAAATCGGACGCTCCGTTCTCTTAAAAACTGAGTTACCATTTATGGCATTTTTTGCCTCGTATCTTCGGAACGGCTAGGACTACCTTCGCCAAAAAATAATCAGCACGCCTCCTTATCAATACAAATCGAATATTTTTTGAATTATTCAAATCGGTTGATCGGTGTTCCCGAAATCGTCGACGAAAATTTGTATCCGCACACACACACATACATCCATTTTTTATAAGGTATGCCAAAATACTCAGAAACCTTTGAAACGTAAAGATATATTAAAATTTTCATTTTCGATTTTTTTGTGATTGCTATAAATTGCCCTACGGGAAGTTAATTAGACTGTGACGGGATTTATATGGACAAACCAAAGCAATGCTCAAAGATACATAAATAAACTTCAGTTGTAACCTAGGTCACAAGTAACGCCGCAAATTTAAAATTATTTAAAGTATATAGGTGAGCATAAGAACTTTAGCTAGAAATAAAATTAAAATCCGAATTATTTTCCGAAATTTTTTTTTTTGGAAATTAAAAAAAAAATCACTAAAAAATATTTTCCCAACAGCAATTGCTTCGTCAACATAAGCAGAAAGCTTTTTGAATCATTCAAATCGGATGCTTTATTTTCTCAAAATGTGCCATTTTTTGCACATTTTGCTCGGCAAAATCAAATCGAACTTCTTCTCATCATTACTAATTGAATGTTTTTGGATCATTCAAATCGGATGTTCTGTTCTCTCAAAAACTCGATTTCTATTTTATGCTCTCTATGCTTAATATTTCTGAAACGGCTGGACCTGCCTTTGCCAAAAACTAATTAGCGCATCTCCGTATCAATAAGAATTGAATGTTTTTTGACCCATTCAAATCGGTTGATTCGTGCGCCCGAAAACGTGGACGAAAAAATGCGGACACAATACATACACAAATAAATAGAACAGTATTGACCGATAGCAGCAACTGCAGCAGTGAAAGGCAAATGGACTTCAAGGCTTCAAGCACGATAGCTCGGATTGCCCATATTGTTTGGGCGAAATCGAAGAAGCAAAGCACGCATTCTTCGTGTGCCCGCAACTTAGTGTTCTACGGAACAATGTAGAAGAGATATTGAGGCGAAGAATTATCCCAAATACTGTTGTAGAAGTGATGCTCACAACTGAGGCTGCTTGGAACACTATGAACGGATTTGCGAGAGATGAGCTAATTGACCTGCGATCTATGGAAAAAAAAAGCGAATGGGTCTTTGCTCTTAAGATAAATATAAAATCAGTGCAAGAATAATAACATTCTAGATCCCCCCTCCACGACTCTCGGGATAGAGATAAATACATTGATATATTTGATTAAAATTGATCTGCTAAACAAATTGAGTAAAAATAGACTAAGAAAAGTCACCTAACTGCTGCGCCAAAAATACGGAACGGGCAAATGGGAAAAAACTTCCTTAATTTCAAATTAATAGCTCTTTAGAAAGAGCCTGAATCAGTCTGAATTTGCAGAAAAGTTTTTAGTCAAAATCCTTATAAGACGATTTAAAAATAAGATTGTGCACTATATGAGTGAAAATCAGTTTGTATTTAGATAAAAAAGAAGCATCATTGGACTACTGAGAATAATGCCAAAAGGTGTCTCGACGTTAACAAAGATAATTGCTTCTGTTTCATAGATGGGCAGAATGTTTTCGATAAAGTCAAATGAAGCAGGCTGATGAAGATTTTGAAAACTAATAACATAGATTTATGCAACGTAAGCTGATCTATAGACTGGAAAAAAGGATTCAAGTGAACCAGGGTGATACAAACATTGTTGAAATAGGTCAAGAAATTTGGTAAGGACGTTGCATGTCAACGAACTCGTTCAACTTATAAGGTAAATGGGTCGTCAACACAAACCAATGAAGATACTGCAAATTTGTCGTTTGGAGGTAGAAGAATAACCACTACAAAGTAGGCAGATGATCTCGTTTTGATATCAAAAACCAAACCGTGCTACATAGCATGATGAGCAGAATCATCGACAATACGGGATGGATATTAACATTGACAAATCTAAGTTATGAGAATATCGAAACTAGACTAAACTGAGGATGGCGGTAGGAAACAAAGAATTGGAATACGTGGATTATTTTAAATACTCGGGAAGCACGCTGACTACAGATGGATGCTGCAAGAGAAAGATCATGGCCAGAATTGAAAATGTTTGAATACACAAACACACAAGCTCATACATATACATATTGCCGATTTTTGGTATCAAACAATTTAGAATGACTTTAAACGTCAAGAAAGATAACAAAATCGAATATTCTGGCAAAAACTTTCTCAGATTTTTTAAATATAAATTTTATAGCCATTGATATATTAAAATTGCTATTGAATCAAAATTATAAATTGATTTGGCTCATTGCTTATGTGTTTTTTATTGGATTCCATTTCTAAATTAGCTCAATATTACCTCTTTTCTTACCTACTATTTATAATGTTTAAGAGAATTTATATAAAATAATTGGAAATCTTATAAAAATGTATTCAATAAAATTTATATTATATAAATTAAGTGTACATAATATACATACATACATACATATATATATATATATGTATATATATATATATATATATATATATATATGTATGTATATATATATAATGTTTACAATAAAAACTGTCACCACGAAATTGTGCTAAATAAAGGAAGAAATATTTGAATAATATTGAATTGAATACATACTAATTCATTCAATAATTTCAAACACATGCTTTTATCATGTTTTTCCTAAATTGAGTGATTATATTTCTGTTTTTTTGAGTTCTTCAAATGTTGGTACATGCACATCGAAAATTTTACCACCATTAACCAGCCATACGGCACCGTTAGCAGCTTCTTGAAGCATGCGTATGAATGCATTTCCAACCAATTCGGGTCTGGAGAATGATATTATGTTTATATAAATTAACTGATATTAAAATTATATAAAAATATTAAATATTAGTTTTAATAAAAAATAGTTATATTAATTAACTTATTATCAGTAATAAGTGGGTACTTACTCTTGGTCTTCTAACAAAGCTTTTGGAATTTGTTCATACGGAATGTGCTCTTGTACAATTCCATACTTATTTATGCCATGTCTCAGAGGTGTATTGGTCCCTCCAGGACATAGTAATAGATATCTGATCCCGGTTGGACTACAATTTTCAGTTTGCTGCAAGTTTTTTACAAATTAGATTCATCATATGAAATTTCCATGATTAAAACAGAAAAAAAGCATTTCCAACACAGATAATTTGTAATTAGTTCAAAAATATTCATTACAACGTTATTATTACTATGAGATAAAAAAACTAAGAAGTCTCTTCACGTGTATTCATTGATAAAACGTTTATTATTATGAGAGGAAAAATAATAATTTAAGAAATCATAGGCAGCTTTTAAATTATATACACAATACATATAATATAAACTACAACTATATAACATAAAGTAAAAACTAACAAGTTGGTATTGGTATTTTGCCTTGAGGCAAGTTACATGAAATTCCCGATATGTGTAATTAATCGACTTGATCAATAAAATATACATTAGTTTATAAGTGATTAAAAGTATTCCGAGTGGATTTATTACACATAATTGAAAACGAACGAGCACGTTAACACGGAATATTTTCTAAAAACAAATTTTCACGCTCAATAATTGAAAACGAACGAGCACGTTAACAAGGAGTATTTTCTAAAAGCATTTATTCACGTTCAATTTAAATTTGACCATCTAGATAATCGATTAAAGTCATCCTGGACCGCAAACAAATCACCTTCGTTTCTTATGCCTCTGTATATTTTAGAATCATCCGCAAACCAAAAAAAACTCAGATGAGAATATACAAAATAGCAATGGTCCAAGATGAGAATATATGTTCAGGAATATAAAGAATTGGCTTTTATCCTCCCTTCAGCTCGAAAAGTATATATAACTAGCTGACCCGGCAAACGTTGTTTTGCTAAGTAAGGTATATTCTAATCAATTTCTAGAGAATCAAAAATATTAATACTTTAACCCTCCGTCTGTCAGATATTTTTTCACCTTCGAACGGTCGGAAAGGTCTGGCTAGACCACCATTCATTTTACATGCATTTATATGGGATAAATGAGTTTTTGGTGTCTTATATATTAACGATTATTAGTAGTAAATATTTATAGTTTTGATTTTTTCTTTTTCTTACCGTCTTTTGCATGTGTTGAGCTTGCTTATAATAAAAATATTACATATTATATTATATAAAAAAGATCAAAAAATATTAAAAAATCGTTGCTTTTTTGTTAATTTTTCTGTTTTATTTCAATGAAAAATTTATTCTTTTTCGGCGCCTTTGAAATGAATGTGAAATTCAAATGAAAACGAAATGAGGTGCGTCGCCTTTGAAATGAGCTGTAAAGTGAAAAATATAATTTCACTACAGCTTTGCCAAAAAAAGTACGGGTAGAAAAATTTTTGATAATGTTTGCATTACTCATCCGATTTTCAGTGTTTGCGATTACCAATAAGTTTGGTAGGTTTTCAAGAAACTCTCGTCATGAAAATACTAACATTCATGTTACAACACATAGCAAAGAATATATACAACCATAGGTAAACAAGTATACAACGCAGTTTGAATAGAAAATACCATGAAAAAAGACAAAATACTGGTTTACATATATCAAAAAGCGTATATTTCATACAAAATGTATGGGTGGTCTAGACAGACCTTTCCGACCATTCGAAGTATAAAAAAGTTAATATCCTTATAATTATCCTTCTGTACATTTTTTCGTCCTGATTTTTTCAATGATCGACAGCTAATGAAAATTTAGGAAAAGTCAAGAAATTTCAAGTCGATAGGATTACTAGAAGTTTTTTTTTTTAATTGAAGTCGAAAAAAGTCTGGCCAGACCACGCCGACCGACGGAGGGTTAAGTGAATAAGGATGTGTTGTTTGAATGATACATAAAATGAGGTATTATAAAAACAATAAACCCCCATTAGTTTGTCTATATTTTGTCAATACAATCAAACTAGAAGTCTTTTTGGTCTTTCGACTTATTGATTACGTTTCAAGTTTTTCAGATTCTTTTTGGATTCTGGATTTTGTGTATAATTGTAAATAATACTACTGAGCTTATCAAAATTTTCAAATTTCTGCGAGGAGAGATAGAAAATGTATTAAGTATTTCTTCTTTGACTTGCTTTTTGAGAAGTTTCAAGTAACATCCCATAAATTAAAGTAAATTTAATAAAAAAATATATGGAGGACGGAGAACAAAAGTACAATTTAACTTTGAGCAATTATAAATTATATTATGAAAATCAAACCAATTATATCGCAACAAATAACACATTTCAAACGAACAATTATCTGACTACGTTCAGTAAACTGCCTTCTACTTCATCATTGTAGAAATGTGCTTTTTTGATGTCTTTCAAAAAGTTGTTATCTAGACCTTTTTATCCTATAGGCGGGGTAACTTGAAACGGGCAGGTGGCAAAAAAATTTAGTCTTATTATAATTTTAAAGGTATTTTACAAAATAATTACATTTTTAACTAATGCTAAAAAACTACCAAAGGAAGAAAATACTTTTATTATGGATTTTCAAAGATTACCGTTTATCTCCCCTATTTCAAAGATCACCGCTTTCAAATCAAGGGTATAGCTCATAGGTGGGGAACATGCGGCCTCGAGGCCGCATGCGGCCTCCGGGAGGTTCTTGTGCGGCCCCTTGCCGTCTAGTACAAAATAGCAGAGTTACTTTCAAACAACTATTGTACATCAACGTCATGACAGTTCCGCAAAAAATCCCACCAAAAACAGTCATATTGTAACATGACATCAGATTACTAGCCTGAAACACAGACTCTTAGGCAGATACAAAAAAGAGATGTAATATATTATATTAATATTATTTAATATAAGCAATATTTTCGATTTCGCAAGACATCGCCTATTATATTTATTCAAGAAGTATTATAAAAAAATAACAGTGCAAAAGAATCGTTAGCACCCGGGTTGAAGATTTGTATGCGTATCCGTAGTAAAATGATAAAAATTTATGCTTCTCGCAATCAAAAGCAAATCCGCAGCTTTGGCGGAGATCGGGGCAACCAGATTTTACCTAGATATATTGGCAATTTTATGACACCATAGTTTAAAAATGACACAAAACTATACCTTTTTTCATAAAATACAAAACTATATTTTTAAAAATTGCTGTAAGCAAAATATGTGTTTGTATTTATTTGCACATAATAAGTATATAGAATTTATTTATATTTAAATCTTGAAATATAAATATAGAGTAAGGTATTTGAAATGAGAACAACTCAAATGCAAAATATAAATTAACAATACATTTTGAGCAAAATAAATACATATTTTAATTAAAATATTTCTTTCACGTTTATTATTGTTAGTTTATATTTAGTTTATAAACATCATTATTCTTTAAATGGAGTAGGTACATCATTTATCAATAATATTTTTTAAATTATATTCTTAAATGTCTGTCAATAGAACGTATATTTCTTTTGGAAAGGGGTAACGTTGCGTTTAATGCATTAATCCTTTTTTTTATGATAACTATTGTAATGAATGACAACAAGCAGAAATATTCATACAGAAAGTGTGCAATTGAATTTAATCTGGTTTTCCAAAACTCAAAATTCCCTAAATTAACCATTAACACCTTAGTTTGCAAAATAAAAATCTATCAGTGAATTCAATGATATAAGAATAATATATAATTTTTTATTTCAAAGAATTATGCAACAATAAGAATATGAAAATCAAATTCAAATCAAAAGCCTTTAATGCCATTTTTATATAAAAAATGAATGTTTAAATGAAATTAAGACGAACTAAAATTCGAGTTTATCGAAACGAAGTCGATTTTATCTTCAAGAAAAATGAATGAAATTTTGTTCGATTTCCTTCGACACCCAGAAATTTTCGATTTCTTTCCATTTTAAAAAATCTCGACATTTTTTAAAATTTTGAAGTATTTTATTTACTTTTTTCTATATAATGCAATAAATTGTTAAAACTATAAAAAAACTATAATAATTTTAGAAAAGTCACTTTTTTAGGTCAATCAGCTTATGCGGCCTCCTTTATTGCTGCCTAATTTAAGTGTGGCCTCTAATGGCAAAAAGGTTCCCCACCTCTGCTGGTTATACATCTTTTTTCCTCTACATTCAAATTTTGTTGTTAAACAATGCTTAACTTTACTGATTTTTGACACATCGGTGGTGGACCTTTTTAACCCCGGACCTTCATATATTACTATCTATTCTTCGATAAATTCTAGGAAATTATAAGGGATCGTTCAAGTATTACGTAAGCAGATTTATTACAATTATTTACCCCCCCCCCATCCCCCTTGTCAGCAAAAGTAAGCAAAACTCTTACCCTCTACCCCCATGCTTACGTAAACATTTTGCAATTAATGTAAAAAAATAAAAATACTACCTATGACGTAATCATCATCTAGACTCCCCTGGCCCCCATGTCAACCCAAAATAAGCAAATCAACAATCCCCTCCCGCCCCCCTAAAGTGCTTACGTAATACTTGAACGGCCCCTAACTGAGAAAATGTTATTCGACAAAATGTCCATTTGATCTTTCGATACCTTTAGGTTCTGAATTTAAATAACATAAATAAAAAATAATATAACCTTGAAAATGTTTTATAAATACCAATAAGTATATAATTATACAAATGAGATTTTTCAGAGCACCGTGTTTGAGAAAAATATGCCCAAAAGTGCATTTTCATATTAACATTTCAAAAAAGTTGATATTTTGAGTCTCTAGTAACACTTGCGGGCCTTGCGGCCCGTTTACTAACGTTTTTGTGTATAAATAAAACTACACGCAAAACTACTTACTACAATTTAATCAAAATTAAATAATATTCACGTAAAACATCTTATTAAACGTAATTGAACATCATCTGTCAAAAACGTTTGACATTTCACGTATTCGCCACCGTTCATTGTTTTATTTAAATTCTACACAAACTTTCAAATTAAAATTGTAAAGTTTCTACGCGATTTTGAAATAATATCACATCTTTCCGACCATCTCTGGATTGGCACGAATTTTTCAAGACTAAGACTGGCCAAATCGGTTTGGCCGTTTTCGAGTTTTATCGAATCATTTGATCGAGAGCTCCATTTTTATATATAAGATATAAAGCTGTTTGTTTTTTTGCATTTAAGTGTTTTATGTAATAATTAATATGTAATATTTGATAACATATGTAGTATTTACAAACATACTTGAAAGCATACTGACCGCTAAACATTGTGTGAATGTCAGCAAACTACTTTTGGTGCTAGTGTAGACAGGTAACCAGCGATGTGGTAGAAGAGCTGCTATTGAGCTGGTATTCACAATAACACCATCGTGGCCTGCCATAAGCTCGGCAGCAAGCTTAGTTCCGAGAATACTGGCTTTCTAATACAAAACATTACTAATTTTATTAATTTAATGTAAGTATAATTGTGATATACGAGTATAGTCTTATATAATTACTAGTTTATTGTTTATATTACATAGTGTAGTATAATAAACTTATACCGTATCGATTATCGAATTTTCTTTTTTAAACACTGCGATTAGTAAATTGTAAGTACTTTTTTACTCCTTATAATTTTTCAATATCAATTGTTTTAGTTTTTAAATTTTATATTCGTAAAATAAATTCTCAAATGATATTTATGTCTTTTATTAATGATATGCCCGAATATTAGACTTTGTTCAACAAATCAATATCAAATTCAAAAGTATACAGAATTTATTTAAATATACCAATTAAAACTTAACTAGTAGAGTGCACGGCATCGTGTCTTAAGGCAAATTGATGGAACTTTCCGTACCGTAATTAAACATTCGAGAAATGAAAAAATAATCAATAATTGTTTTGAAGATTTTCAAATAGATTATTTATTACAAATACATACTGTAAATTTATAATATTTAAATTGGGTGATGAGTGTATTTTATAAACAACTTATATGTACGTTTACAAGAGTCCATTTTTTTGAATTAGATTTTTTTTGATAATTTAGAAATTTTTTAATAATTTAGATTTTTTTTTTCAATTTTTTTTTAGAAGTTTAAAATTCTTTGGAATCTAAAAGAAACGTTTTTTTAAATATTTTGAGAATTAGAAAATTTTAAAAATATTCGATTTTTTTTTAATTTTCGAAAAATTCTTAAATTTTTGTAAGAAATAATTTATTTTGTAATTTTTTGAAATTCAGTTTTTTTTAAAAAAGATGAAAAATTTCGAAAATTTGAATTTGTTGAAACTTTGAATTTTTTTTTGAAAATTTTGATTATTTTTTTTAATTTTCAAAATCACTAAATTGTCTGTAAATGCATTTTTTGCACACCATCTACTCAAGCAAAATGTTTTTTGAATTCATCTAATCGGATAATCTGTTCACTCAAGAACTACATAACCGTTTTTACACCCTTTACGCTCCATACCTCCGAAACGGCAAAATAGCCTTTTGCAAAAACGCTTTGCGATCGAGTACGAACCGAATGATTTTTTAATCATACAAATCGGTTATTTCATACTGTCGAAAATGTCGAGGACATTTGTTTGAACCATATAACAAAACTTCGAAATTAAAAATCTTGGTACGGAACCCAAAAAAAAATTACACAAAATGTGTACACAATATTAAAATCTCTATATAATATCTGATAATTTGATGTACATATGTCCAATAAACATTTTTGACCGCCAAATGACATTTTTTTAAATTATTTTTATTGAGAGTCCATAACCGCTACACCTACCTTTCCAAAAATGAAAGAACTGCGCAGGTACGACATTTTTTGATAGGTAATTCAAAATTGATCTATCATAAAATTTTGGTTTGCGTTATTATTATCAACTAAGTTTATATTTTATATATCTTATTTCGCTTCAAATTTATCAATCTTTGATAATGTGATTGCTAAAATGTACAAATAGATATCTTGATTAATGTAAAAAAATTACAACGGAATGTGTAGTTTATAAGATGTAGGTACCTGTAAATTGAGAAACAGAAACCACTATATCTTTGATTTCAATTATGATAATAATTGTAAATTACGTTGATATATGCTAAGCATTTCTATTACGGAAGGCACTGTATTTTTCTGTTATATTAGTTATAGTTCACGGCGTTGATTTATAAAAAGAATTACTTAGAAACAAGTCAATTCTCTTAAAAATAAGTAAAGAATAAAATATCAGATGCATCATTGTCGTATTTTGTCATTAGACTTAGTAGACGTTACCGCATAATGCCAATTACCCAATACCGAACTGATTTTTAGAAAATAATTAATTGTGAAATGATGAACAACAGCTGTGGAATTATTTTTACTCAATTCAGTAAAAGGATAGTTACAGCAACCATCCATCCTTATTTTATATAAATGTAATTAGTGGATCACAAAAAATATTAAATTTCAAAAAATTGTTACAACACGTGTAGCATGGTAGTTAAAACGAATTTAAATAATGTAAAATCAAAGATTAAAATTATGTATACTGTCAGAATTTAGAGTTACTGTACGAAAGTTAAAACAACTTGAAAGCTTAATAATAAATAAACAATAAACATACAAAAGTATTGCTAACAAATGATTAGATTATCGTCTAGAGTATGTCTAGCAATGCGATTAATTTACTTAAATTCGTTTAATCCCTTTATCTGATTTAGATAATTTATCGAAATTGATCATTTTTAATTTTAAACAAATCGCACGCACCTATTTAATACTCCCATGTCATTATCATTTGTAAACAAATAATATTTATCATAAAGTGATTATAGAAATTATTTACGTTTTGAAGCCACCTGATTATTTTATTTCACAAAATATAGAATGTGTATAACAGGTGTTTATGATGAGTTTATTGAGAAAAAACTCATAAATAGATTTTAACATACGACTTAAACACAAGATGTAAGAATCCCATCAAACGAGAGATTCATTTGAGATAATATTAGCAAAAAAACACACAACCCTTACGAATTTGATATGGCGTTTAAATGTAAAATGTACATTTTTAACGTGTAGTTATTCAACCGCTTGTCTAGTATCCCTAGATAATATGAGAATATAATATATTCATATGTTATATGCAATCATCTAGGTTACGTTAAAATACACTCATAGGAAATGTGCACTTTTTTTTTTTTTTTTTTTTTTTTTTTTTTTTTTTTTTTTTTCTTTATTTCATTAATAATAACAATCAGAGTCAGAATGACTCTATGAGTTACAGAGCTGATATATAAAAATAATATATAATAAATCAAAATAAAAAGTAAACAAAAAATAATAATAATTACAACTCATAACATAATTAAAACTAAAGGTAAAATTATAATATAAACTAAATAATCCGTGAAACTGTTCCAATGAGCAGCTCAATATGTTATGTTAAGTCCAATGGAATTTTTCGCTTCAACCTTCTACTAGACGGAGTCATAAGTAGAGGTGCTATAAGTTGATTTGGATGGTTTTCAAGCTTGGAGTGATGGAATAAACTTCTGCTGCTAATTACATCCTTAATAAAAGGAACATTGAGGTCGTCGTGGATGATTTTATTGCTTACATACCAAGGTGCGTTGGTGATCTGCCTTAGGATTTTGGATTGCATCCGTTGCATTAAAACAATATTGGACATGCTGGCGCAACCCCAAAGCTCTATACCATATGTCCAGATGGGCTTTATTACAGATTTATAAATCAATAGCTTGTTGTCAAGCGATAGGATTGATTTGCGCCTCATTAGCCAATTCAGGTCTGCAATCTTCTGTTTGATTTGTTTAATTTTTGCCATAATGTGGGTTTTTCATGTTAGTTTTCGATCTAAGTATATTCCCAGATATTTTACATTTTCAGCTGGTGGAATTTTCTGGCAATTAAAGTAAACTTCAGGACAGGTTAGTTTGTTTAAAGAAAATGTAATATGGCAAGATTTGCTCTCATTAATAACAATGCGCCATTTTTTCGTCCATCGCTCGACAGCATATAAATGTAACTGGAGCTTGATAGATGCAACCATTGGGTTGATATCTGAGGAAAGTATTGCAATGTCATCAGCAAATGTAGCAATTGATGTAGTTGGCAATGAAGGAAAATCGCTAGTAAATAGTAAATAAAGGAACTGACCCAGCACACTTCCTTGTGGAACGCCTGCACTTATCGGAAAGGAATTAGAAGTTTCACAGTTAACCCTGACTTTGAATGTTCTGTCTGTTAGGTATGACTTAAGAATTTCATAGTAGGATGACGGAAGGTTATATTTTATTTTTAAAAGTAATCCCTCATGCCACACTTTGTCAAATGCCTGCCTTACATCCAGAAACACGGCGGAACAGTATTCCTTGGCTTCGAAAGAGTTATTAATAATATTAACAAGTCTGTGACACTGTTGTGTTGTCGAATGTTGCTTGCGGAAGCCAAATTGATGGTCTGGAATATTATTTGATTCTGATAATATATCTTGAAGTAAAAGTTTTTCGAAAATTTTTGAGGTAATAGGTAGAAGGCTTATGGGCCTATAAGATGAAACCAAATATGGATCCTTTCCAGTCTTTGGAATCATTTTAACTATAGAGGTTTTAAAGGATTTAGGCCAAAATTCCAGTCTTAATATAGCATTATATATATATGTTAAACAAATAATACCTTTTTTAGGCAATTCTTTCAACATTCTCGACGAGATTAAGTCGATTCCTGGAGATTTTTTGTTTTTAAGTTTAGAAATTTCCCCGACAACCCTTCTCAGAGAGAAGAATTTTTTATTATTTCTAACAGGAATCGTTCGATAAACCATGTCACAATCAGGAATTTGATTATCAGAAGGTAAATTAGGCTGAAACACAGAGGATAAATACTTGGCAAAAACTTCAGTTTTATCTTTATCACTTCGTGACCAAGTCGAGTCGTTGTCGGCATCCCAACGAATTGGCGGGTTTCGCACACATGGTTTGAGTCGGTTTTTCACTGGTTTCCAAATCGAATTATCGAAGCGGTTAAGGCTGGCTACATAGTTAGTGAAATTAATATTGCTCATTTCTTTCAATCTATTCTTCAGCTTATTACTGATGTTGTTAAAGTAGGTTTTATCTGAAGGTAATGGCTGTTATGCCATTTTCTTCTTGCTCTCCGTCCGTTTTCAGCGATAAGCTTTTTTGATTTCTAAGGAAGTAGATTGTCGATTGGATTGCACAGGTTTAGGCGTAGAGGATGAAGCAGCTTCAGTCAAAATGTTGTTGAAGTTTCGATAGCTGTATTAACGTCAGTTTGCGTTTTCAATCTCATTTGCAAATTGATTTTGTCCTCAACTTTTTTGCGATACATATCCCAATTAGTTTTCGCAGTGTGAAGGCATGGTGCTCGAGAAATATTTATTATAGATGAGCAGATGCTGGCAATTACAGGAGTATGGTCGGATGAAAGGTCAAAATTAGTTTCAATTTCAGTGTAATTTGTATTGATGCCATGAGAAATAAAAAAATCCAGTAGATCTGGTTCTTTTTGGGATCTGAGGGCCAGTAAGTTGGAGTACCCGTCGACAGCGTTACATATTTATATTGGGAATTACACTGTATAATTGTCTGCCCTT